CAACAAGTCTATATGAAACGAGTCATGTGAAAAAAAAATAATAAAACGCATTCAGCATTTCAACTTATATTCTTCTTCTTCTTATCGTGTCCAGTCCTTAATATAGATGCTTTGTTTTGTTACTCCCAACCGGATATCGCAACAAATGAAACACCTGGAAAACAATCAATAGATGGAGAGTAGGTGTTGCACGAACAAAGAAAAAATGTACGGAAGTGAGGATACAACGCAGGAACCGTAGACTGCAACTATAGAAGTGAACAAACAGAACAACATATACTAGTGTGCCCCTTAAACCGTGTGCCATGCACACTTGAAGACCTGGCAAATGCAACAGATGTGGTTATACAAGTAGCGAATCAATGGAGTAAAAAGAGATTATAACAAAACAAAACAAAACATCTATATTATAGCCTAGACACGATAAGAAGAAGAACTTATATTGGAAACTCCTGTTTGATGAAAGGTCAAAAATCAGAATATGAAGTTCAAACAGAAATTTATTATAAAACTAATCATACAAATGTTTTAGAATACTTAGCGCTGAAGCTATAAGAAATAAATCTCATTAAAATTACACAATACATGTGTAGTTTGTGTAACGTGTCAGCTCACACGCTACGAATTTATCAAATCCATGTGCCATAACTTTAATAAATCATTTTTATAATTCTTATATTTGTATTAACTATGTTTTACACTTAGGTATATATAAATACGGATCTAATAGGATTTTAAATAAAAAAAATAAAAAAATACAGTAGTAACCGAAATGTTAATTTTGTTTACGATAGTTAATATTTTTTTTTGAGCGAAAACTAAATCGCTTTTTTTAAGTTTGGGTAAAACAAATCATTTGGACAAAAATCAAAAGATTGATTTTGGGTGAAAACAGGCTCCCTCAGATGCTTAGTTTGTTTTATAATTTTCCTTTTTAAAATCAATTTCTAGAAAAACTTGTGGTTAATTTATTAAATACTTTAATTTTTATTTGTTTCTCTTACTAGACTGAAAAAGGTAGGTAAGTTTATTAATAAATGTTATTCATTACGAAGAAAACATAATAAAATAAGTTTTGAGTTATTAGATTATCATTCATCATTTAAAAAACAGTATTTGGATCTGATTGGTATATTAGTAAGTTAAAACAACAGATAAAGAACATTTTGATAATGATAAACGTTTTTATTAGAAGTATTTATGAGTACTTTTTTTTTACCTTTTTGTATCAACATGTCATGTCATATTTCTACATTTAATACTTTCATTGGTGACATATAACGTTTTTAAACGAGTCATTATAATTCATATGATTCTATGTGGTTAATTTATTTTGATGATCTAATAAAACACCGTTATTAAACCCCAAAATGCTTTAACAGGGCCGCTTTAATAGGGTCGTTTAGTTGTGCCTACACACGTAATTAATGTTTTGGAATAATCATTATGGCTTGACCATGAACATTTCTTCGTTGTTGATTCGCGGACTTGATTTAGAGGGTCCATTATACGCAAATGATTCTGATAGAAATTAGAGGAAGACCTTCTGTTATATTAGCCGAAAATTGTTGTTACCGCGTGCTCGGATCAAAACACGTAGATTGAAAATTATTCTAAAAAATCAGGCAAAGCACCTAGATTCTACAAGTGGATGGGGTGGTGCCTAGACAAGAGGGACCGATTCTATTTTAAAGTGTTTATTTTATTTTTTTATTGATTATTCTTGTATAAATCCAAATTAGCTTCCAATTACGAAAACAAATATTCGGTGAATGTTTTCATAAAAACCAGTAAGAAAAATGGAATAATCCATCAGCCATTGTATAACAATACATAAGTATAAATAAGATATATATCTATATTTATCTATCATTACTTATTCATAGGATATAATATATACTATTATAACAGTGTATTATTAATTATGTATTGAGTAAAAGGATGTTGATCAAAAAAAATGAATGAAAGAATAAGTCATACGAAATAAAGATCAAGTGAAATTAAATACTTTTTTTTAGTTTTAGTGAAAAATACTTTTTTTTTAGTGTTTTTTTATTTATTTCCTTTTAACCGAAGATCGTCCAAGTATACTGATATATTTATTTAAACAGTATTTTTATGCTTGAAAATAAGTTTAAGCTGAATGCTCATAAGATTCAAAAATTATGTTTGTATAGTGTATAGTGTACACAAGTCAAAAGTTGTTGTTGTACTCGTATATAGAGATTATCTTTAAGTGAAATATATACCTGACACCATTAAGAGGCGTCTACCAAAAGCTGTATAGAGAATAGAGTATTATACCAATATACAGTACGTGTATATACTCTATGATGCAGAACGATTTAAAATATATCGTCTTACAATAATACAGTACCTCTATGTATACCATTTAAAGCCCTATTGGGACGTAAGACAAAATAGTTGATGCATCATTAAAATAGGAACATATTGTGTTCAGTTAAATTCACATTAATGTAGCTCACGCAAATAAATATATCAATTAATGTCATACATTAACAAAAGACTTTCAATAAATATAATAATCCATCGAACAATACTCATTGTATAAAAGTGATACAATCAAAGATATTTAAATTATAAATAAACTTAACATTGTATAATATACCATTTATAAGAATACATAATTTTAAAAATATATAAATAAACATACATTTAATTAATTAATATGTTTTTATACTTAAAACACAAAATATACAATAGTAAAGTTTTTTGGACTTTATAGATTATAATTATAAATTGTAGGTTAATATTAAACTGGAATTCAGAGCAACAAATTTGTAGCAGTAAATTATCATATCCTGGTAATAGATTTGTGTGTTAATGTAATTATCATTAAGTTATAAGTAGCAGTCATGAAGGTCAACTAACATACTTATGATGTATGAGTTATGACTGTTATCACAAAAATTAAACAAGTATTACTATTATTATATTCACAGCGCACTTGGATTGCTACGTGAAATAATATTTACATTAATTTAGCCCAAATAAGTGGAATTTAAAAAAAAAAAAACTACAAAAATGCTTTAGACGTTCAGAGAAAAAGGTTTCAAAGTTTGGAATGAAATTCAAACTAATTTAAACTTAAACACAATTATTTTAAAAAATAATAATAAAATGATGTAAATACGAGTCAAATATTTCAATTTATTTTTATGTATTAAATATGCTTTAATAATACTGCTTAGCGTATTATAGATAACAAATTATGTAATGATAATAATTATTAATCTTTTGTCATTTTAAATTAAATCTTTGATAAAAATGACCGGAAAATTAAATATAATATAACCTAATCAGTCAACTTTAAATATTTTATAAAGTATATTAGTGTGCCGTGCCTTTTAAAAATTATTCATTATTAATTTCGTTATAATTATTTATAATTAGTTTATATACATTTTTTTTCAACTCAAATATATAAAATTATATAAAAGTTTGGTTATGTTTATAACCTTTCTAGTACTATCCTTTTATACATTTTTTCCGTTCTCAAAAACAAAAAAGAAATATAAATCTCTATTTAATCGCATTATTGGAATCCAATGATTAATATAAAGCACGTTCTAACCCTTCAATTACATTGTTAGAACAAACTATGAAGCATATATTTTTTCGCATGATTAAATTATTATTCACTCTTATACCAAAAACTTCTTCGTCTGTTTCGAACTGTACTATTCACGTATCTTCGAACTATTGTATCGAAGTACGAAAAAGATTTTCGGTGTTCAGAAAACATTCGGATATCAATATTTCCTCAAACACCTATCGAATTACATAAACGTTAATATATTTGAATAATAATTGAGCAATGAATATACATTTTTATTTTAATTTTTATCACGCGTCAACTATGTGTGAATTATCTACACATGCGAGCAGTTAAAATGACAATAAATCTAAATAGCATTGTATTCCATCGTAAATAATTTGAGAACGATGAAGAGAAAGTGGTTTTCCCCTAAATGTTTTTGAATACTTACGTACACACAATGTATGAACTTATGAATAAGTATTATGTAAACATATCGTACGCGTACACAATGTGCTCGTATAAACAAGAAAAAAAATTAAAGAGGTAACGAGAATGATTTCGTTTAAATATATTGATATTGATTTATTTAGCGAGAGTTTTGTAAAAACTATTATGATGAAGTCATAAAAATTGCAAATCACAAAAATGCGATATTAATTTTATTTGCGTTTGCGGTGGAAAAAAAAAAAAAAATACAAATTTAATGTATTTCGAATAAACAAATAAACGCTGAACAAAACGCGTTGATTCGAATTATGTTAACCGTTATGAACACGGTTTCAATACGTATTACAGACCCGGCACTGATGCGCAGCGCGGAATAATCGTAATACGGTTTAAACGAATACGTATAAACGGTACATGGTTACCGGGATTGTTTGGTGCACGACGCTTTGTTCGCGCGTATCCGAGCGATGATACGCGCGCAAAAAACATCTCCGGCTCGAAGTGATCGTGAGCGCGTTAGTACGTGTGCACGGCGACGCGGTCGCCGAGGAATAATAAGTCGATTTCATTCGGAAACGAAAAGACGGAGAAAAAAATAAAAAAAACTGTTATTTCTGCCGTTCCCGCGGCAATGTCGGCGCGTTTCGAAATTTGTTTAGCAAATTAAAACCCCTCAGATCGACGAAAACGTCCGGGCCGGAGTGATTTACGAGCGCTCGTCATCCGCACGTACACACTCTCTTGCGTGCGTATACACACGTACGTACCACGTACCACGTACATCACGTACACACATGTATATATATATATATATATATACGCACTCGGAACGTGTACATAAACGTGTAGAGCGGTGCTCGCGGTATCAAAAATATGCTAAGATCAATATTGCACGCACAAGTTGCTTCGAACCCGAGCTTTGCCGAGCGCGCGCATCACAACCCCCCGAAGTCTCGCGATTCCCGGACCCCGCTGACGTGTACGTTACGCCGCGAACCCGCTCGACCGTTCACTGTCGCCGCGTCACCGTTCGCCCTCGCACTACCGTCTCTCGTTCGACGCCGTGCCCTACGTCGCGCGTCCCTCTCACTCGTGTCTCCCCGTTTCTCTATCACCGGCTATCGGGTTCGTCTATCCCCATCCCCATCCCTGCCGTCCATCGCTCGCACGCCGGCACCGGTTCGCAACAATCCACACGCGGCCGCGGACGAACGCATGCGGGGCCGCCGCCGGTGCGCGTGAACGCAGCAGTAGCCGCGCGCGCCATGTCGCACGGACGCCAAACGACGACCACGACGACAGCGACGAAGACGGCGACGATCGACGCGATCGGCTCGCACGCCACTGCCACCGCGACTAGCTGATGTCCCGACGCTAAGCCGCGGAGCCCTTGCCGCCCCAGCTACCGTCTCCTGCTCCTCCGAACCCGTTTCGCGGGCCACGCGCACGCGCGTCCGACGATGGATTTTGTAAAGTCGAGCTGGTTCACCGTCGTTCCCATTGCCGCCGCTGAAGCCGTCGACGTCGACACTGATCGCGCTACAGTTGCTGCCTCGCCGAAAACTCGGACCCGAACGCACTGCAAACGGAAAGCGTAAGTTGTCCCCCCCCCCCCCCGGTAACTTCACGGTCCGGTCTCCGCTCGCGTTCTCTGTTCCCCGCGTGCCGTAGAAATACTTACCGGCGCCCTTGGCAAACTTCGATTGAAAATTTGACGTTATGATATCATATTTTTCTTAACCTTTAATATTGCTAATTTTTTTTAGAATTCAATTTTTTTATTTATAAGTATATATTTATAAATTATTATTACAGTGTCAACTTTAAACTTTTGAAAATTTACTTTTTTCGATTTATGACTGGCAAATTCATCAAAGCCATCGATTTCTTCGCATTAAATTTTTTACATGTAATCCTTGTGCTATTTTCACAATTTCATCATTCAATTCACGCGTAGTAATTAAACAACATATACATATGGAAAATGTTCGATTTGATCGTACAAAATAAATACGACTTTTACACAATTTTGCGCCCCTTTGCAATTTGCGCCCCTGGTGTAGGCACAGTTCGCCATACCCTTGCTACACCACCGGTCTAGGGTATCCGGTTCACCGTCACTGTGGTACCGCATCGCGTTCACGTGTCCGAGCGGTACGGCGGTTTCCGCGTCCTCGTCTCGCGCGCTTTGACAGCGGAGGAAGTCGTGCCTCGACCGTCGTCACCGGTTCCCGACAGGTTTCCAATAACGTTTTTTTTTTTTTTTTTTATAGCGGTTTTTCACGCCGTGCTGTTCGATTACCGTAGAACTACCAGATCGTCATCGACGTTTTTCTTCCAAACTGCGTTCACTTTTTGTGTCACTTTCGTTCAATTTAGGGTAGCTTCCGGCAGTTCGCTTCCGTCAATTTTTCTACAATGAATCGGACGAATAAGTTTTTTATCAATGGTGTTTAATGCCGGATGAATCATATTTTTCGATGCACTTACCGCGAACAGTCCCGAGCGTTGGTTTTGGGTGCGCTACCGAATTATTTCAATTAAGCACCAAAAGTAAATCAAATCGATCAACTGTGTTTACGTACTTCGTCGGGTTTTCGATTTAATTTCGTAATAAAATGCCAACGAGATTTGGTAATCTGCAGGAATTACATATCGTAAACATTTGTATACGAATTGCAATGGTTCAAATAAACACTAAGACAAACATGTATCCCGAAGTTGTACGTTGCATATTCTCGTACGTACGAGCATACTTAAATGAGATTTCCTCTTTCCTCTTGTACCCTCGTGAAGTACGGTATTGGATTACTTGTGTCTCCATGAATCGTAATAAAACAATATAACAACCATGATACGTAACCGCATACACGAAACACTTCAACATTTGAAGATTTTGGCTGCGTCCGAATTGGGTCCCGAATTTAAAATGACTACACTAATTGGGTCCCGAATTATTTTAGTTGCTATGCTAGTTGGGTCCCGAATTATTTTAGATACTACACTAACTGGGTCCCGAATTTTTATAGGTACTACACTAGTTCCTGAATATTTTTTGGTAAGTACTACATTATACTAACATTTTCCTTCCCATTTTAACAGACTTAGAACTGTCTATGATCTATTTAAACCACAGGTATGGTTAAAAATGTTTTTTTTAGTTTTTTTTGTTTTTTTAGTTTCTTTTCCATTAATTTTTATTTATATATAATGATTCTAAAATTTTTAATATTTTTTCATTTACCTATATGGCTATAATTATATTATATAATATTAATTTTTATACTTGATGTTAACATTTTTAATATTTTTACCAACACAATTCTAATAATTTATATTTTAATGGAAAAGAAGCTAAAAAACAAATAAAACTATAAAAAACATTTTAAACCATACTTGTGGTCTAAATAGATCATAGACAGTCCTAAACCTTTAAAATGAGAAGGAAAATGTTAGTATAATATAGCACTATCTCTGATTAGCCCCTAGTACTCAGGACCAAACTCGGATCCTCCGAAGATATTACTATAAATCATTATTTGAATGTCATTCTATCAGCTTAATAATTATTACAATCGAATATCGTGTTCGATCAGTTTCGTCTGAATGAACCTTATTTTCTACCTGAATAACGGTTACTTATAAAATAAAGTGAAGTTATTTAGTTGTATCATTGTTCATTACGATAGTTCAATTTTATTTTAAAATAAGAAGTCTTGTGTGTAGCCATAACTGAGAACAAATGTCTTGAGCTATAAGGTACATTTCAATTTAAAGTTAAGTATGTTAGTATTACTAATTAATTATTGTGTAATTATAGCGTATCAATAAGTAGGTATACACACACACACATATATATATATATATTATCAGAAGTGGATGTACCAGTAGTGTACCACTTGGTGGATTTGTGATATTAATTTTCAAGAATCCATTTAAACTATGGTCGATATGTGTTACCACATATTACACCATGTATTTTGTGTTTTCTTTGAAATCATAAATCTTAAATATATTATGTGTTCTTTCATTTTATATGTGAAAATAAATAGGTCCAATAGGTAAGATGTAATCACAATAAAAATAAACTGCCACCATGAACATTTTATGTTTCGACTTAAAACTATGTACATACCACATAAAACGTATACTCTATACGTAAGTAGTAAAGCCTTTCATACCTTACTTTACCATTTTGCTCAACCCTGAATAAGTATACGAGTACTTATCTCCGGATATTGTATCCATTAGAGTAATTTAAAATGTTGTATTTTAGTCACTTAATGAAATGCATGTACAATTAAAACTTCTAATTCGTTTCTGCGCGTGTTCAGGTTACGCAGTGACGTGTGCGCTAATGTTAACCGCCTATAAAAGTAAAATGAAAAAAAGGTATTTTCAATGTCGAATTACTTACACTTAGTATTGTATAACTCTTTTTGGGACTATTTACGCAAAGGCTCTTTTAATGAAAACGCTTGCACAACATTTAGACAATTATAACTTGTATCGCATTATGTTAATTGGAAAACGTATTGAAAAAAAATGTTGGGATTAAAATGCAGGGAAACTATATGTGTAGTCTTATGGGAAGGAAAAACATCAATCGAAGAACTTCTGGAAGACATGACATCGGACGACATGATAGAATTCACGTCCATATTTTTGGTTGTAGTCGAAAGGAATTTTTCATTGCATAGAAATATTTTATCAGATCTCTAACGAAATTATTTATTTAAAAATATAAATCTTTCAATGCAACTATATTGTTATGGGTCAAAATATGTATTTGTCTAAGGTATTTGGACCAGATTGGTTCAGTTATTATTAGTAAGCTTTATTTATCAATAAAATTCGTAATTTACAGTTTTAAAAAAATAAAATACAATATTACAGCTAGGTACCCTTATAAGTATATTTTGTGAGGGCGTAGCTATTATTATCTTTTTAAGTTTATGTATAAATAAAATAATTGTATAAATAATGTATAATGTATAAATAATTTTTGAAATATATATAATAATTAATATATATATTATTTTATATATTTAATAACAAAATTAAGATAATATAAAATATAAAGGGATGGAAAAATAAATGTATTAACAATTTTAAATTTTTTATTTGTACGAGTATATATAACTATAAATAATAAATAATTAATTAAATTGGTTAAATACTTGATAAATCTAGAACCAGGAGCGTCATTTTAACTTTGAAAGGATGGGGCAACTGATTTAATTTTCTGACTTCATAATATTTATAAAATGATGGTTATCTATATAATTAAATATTTAATATTTATGGACCATAGACTATCAATAAAATATTTTTTGGAACAAAACATGTAAGGATTAGTAATGAATAATGATGTCATTATGATGAACAAAGAACATGAAACGTTTCAATTTACCCAATTAAATAATAACATTAAACATAGTAAAAAATTAATTAATTTACTTATGCTATTGACTATGAATTACCTATCAGTAAGTTTAATAAATCTAATTAAATAAATACTTTACAGAACTTATTTATAAAAATATAAAATTGTATCTCAAATATAATATACCGTAGTCTGGGGTGAATAGGAACGATTTTAACAGGTTTTTTTATAGATTATGAGCTCAATTTTTATGGTAGGTATATCGATATCATGAAAACTGTTTTATAAACATCACGTACCTATATAGAAATATATAAAATACTAAAAACAAAATTTATAAGGTTCGCGTAATAACGATTGTCATAAACCGGGGAGGAGCCAGTGTTTCTCAACTTTTAATAAACCATGAACGTGTATTTAAAAGAGAATATTATCTGATTTCTGAGTAAAAAATAATAAATAAAAATTTACTATTTACCAATTTTAGCATTTGATCATTGGATAAAGAATTTCCGACTTTTAAAAATTTCTTAGAATGTGGTATTTGTCATAGTATACCCCCCCAAAAAAAAAAAAAATAACGCCCCTGTCTAGAACTCTTATATAGTTTTTAAAGGGTTTTAAATTATGAAAACTATTTATATATAACTTACAAAATAAACTAATACCTATATTCTATATAATAAACTTTTTTGGACAAATACTTTATTTTGGAAGACATGTATTTAGATTTTTATCGGTATCTGGTATTTATATTCATAATTAGAGAAATATATTAAATGTTTATATTTATAAAATTCGAAAAAAGTTGATAAATTATAAATATACTTTAGATTCTTAACATTTTATTATCATTTTATCATTATCATTATCATTTTATTGTATACTTTAGAGATATTAGTTATACACTATGGTGTAGCCAGAAATCTCAAAGGGGGGCCACTAAATGTAATATACTTATATGAATTTACAAATTTAAATTCTATTGTAAATCTTGGTAAATTCGTAATAACAAAATTGCATATTTTAATTCATTAAAGTATCACACAACATAAATAACAGATAACAACAGTCTCATTTTTATATATCGTAATATAAATTGTAAGCAATCACTTTTATTAAAAATCGTGATTACTGATTATACATAGTAATCACTAATCAGCCTTAATCGTCGTCATAATTCACAACCATACCGACAGTATAGTAAG